TACACGTTAATATTTTGTAAAGACATATAGAACAAAAGTTGTGAAGAATGTCACGATCTTTCGAAAGATATCAACGATAAGGGGCTGGCCCCTGTAATAAAGGGACAAAAGGGGCCGAAAGTTTTCCCTTTATATCTCAAAAAGTGTCGAGAATTTGTAATACGTCAAAGAAACAAAGTTGTTCAAAATACCAAGCTCTATCTAACGGCGTCGTCAAAATACGTCCGGCGACGTCACTTCCGGTCAAACCGGAAGTAGTCAAAAATTGCATATTTTTGCTGTTCCTGACAGGTTTTTGGATATCATATGTCACCAGAAGCTAAAATCCTAATTTTCCGTCCGTCGACGTCACTTCCGGTTAAACCGGAAGTTGCCAAAAATGGCTTAATTTTGCAATGATTAACATAGATTTGGAGGATTAACCATTTTTGGACTCATTACTCTTTATTTTTTTTTAAATGAAAGTTACTTCCGGTCAAACAGGACGGAAGACCTACTCGTTGCTTTGCAACGAGCTCGGCTCTAGTTATTATTATTATTGTTTTTTTTTCTAACCGATTTTGTGCACGCGATTTCTCGAAAAAGGCTGGAAAGAGTTTCATGAAACTTTCAGGACTGACAGAACATCAAAAAAACCTTATATATATTTTTTTGTTTTGATGACGTCACTTCCGGTTTTGAGATTTCCGCGATTTTGTGATTTTCAGGGGGTATTATTGTCCATCATTTTTCTCGAAAATGCCTTTAGACAGAAACATGAGATTTTCAGCGATGATAGAGCAACGTGTGCTCTTTTGTCACACACCACTCTCTTTCTCCGGAAGTGCCGCACGTTTGCGCTAGCTATGGGCCGAAAAAAGTCCTATCGTGAATTTCAAAATTTTTGACACCTTTTCTACGATATCTTTTTACCTGGAAATATTTTGTTAAAACATGTAGAACAAAAAAAGTATAGAATTCCAAGATCTTTCAACTGATACCTCGGAAAAAGGGCTGGCCCCTTAAATCAGGGGCTGAGAGGGGCCGAATGTTTTTTCTTTATATCTCAAAAAGCATTTAGAATTTGTAATACGTCAAAGAAGCAAAGTTGTTAAAAATTTCAAGCTTAATCTATTAAAGTCGTCAAAATACGTCCGGCGACGTCACTTCCGGCCAAATCGGAAGTACTCGGAAAACGCGTTTTTTTGCCGTTCTCGACAAGATTTTAGGTTACATTTGTCTCTGGGAGCATAAAAAGTAATTTTTCCGTCCGTCGTCGTCACTTCCGGTCAAACCGGAAGTAGCAAAAAATGGCTTTTTTGAAGGCTTTGATGCAAAATTGAAATTATAAAGTCACTGGAGACTACTTAGCTCATTGCTTTCTTTTGTTCCGTCACTTCACCGGCACTTCCGTCACTTCCGGTCAAAACCAGACGGAAGACCTACTCGTTGCTTTGCAACGAGCTTTGCTCTAGTTATTATTATTATTCTTTTTTTTGACTTTCTAATTTTGTGCACGCGATTTCTCGAAGAATACTGGATGAAATTACATGAAATTTTTAGGACAGATGTGTTGTTACATGAATTTAATATATCCGAGAGAACATTTGGAAACTCACTTCCGGTGCCAAGTTACGGACAATTTTCTGAAATTAAAATGACATTTTGTCCACGATTAAACTCAAAAACGATAAAAGATATCAATATGAAACTTTCAGAGATTATAGATCGTGATATATACTTTCCAGGACGCGACCTTTTGTTTGTCGTCGGTACTTCCTGTCGTTAGGAGAAGCGAATTGAAAAAATTGCATTTTCTAACTTTTTTGTTTTTCAATATTTTTTATTTATTTTTGGAATATTTGTAGAGACCCTTCTATTGATGCTTACTATATAAGTTGTTTGAATATTGGTTAATCTGAACTCTAGATATTAATATTTGAAAATCTGAAGCGGGTCTAAGATGGCGTCTGCCTCTGTCAACTCCGCCATTTCGCGAGTAGGGGTTTATGGAGGCAGCTGAGCGTTTGATTAAACCATTCTGACATAAGGATACATGAAATGTAAAAAACTACTTTGACTTTCACGTAGAAGTACGTTGTAATTACGTGTCAATCTTAAAACTTAATTTCCGTTTCACTGCTTTAGTTTCACTGGGCTAGATACGATATGTAATGTGTACAATGTGTTATATATATACCTTCTTAACGTCGAAATAAAATAAAAGCGATAATAACGTTTTATTTATTTAATTTCAATGAAGCTATCACACCTATTTAATTAATAGATCAGTCAAAAGAAAAAGCGCGAATATATACTCGTGGCGTTTGGCGCGAAATTATCAATAGTGGCCCGCCTTTTATAATTCTTAGACAGGTATACTGTTGCAAATGTATACACAAGTATATTTAGAGCAGTGCTCCCAATAGCTTAATGGTTTGCGCGTTAATAGATCACGTAGTAATTACGTTACAATTCTGTGTCAAACTAAAGATTTATTCCAGGGTATTCTCAAACGTCTTCTGTAACTGGTATTGGTTGGTTCTCAAAGTAGAAAAAGAAAAGACTAAATGTGCAAATCAGAGATACCTATTATCATTTGTTTTGCAAGATAAAAATACAGATCTTAAATCATAGTTATAAGTTATAGTTTTTCAAGAAACAATATGGATGTATATAATAAGTATAAAACGTAACCACTGTTTTTCCCATGCACACTTGTGTCATATTAAACTAATATAAGAGACAAAAATAAGAAAACCATTTTATTAAGATTGTCTAATGGAGTTATATTAACATTCTTTTCTCAAAGATCTGATTCAAGTTACTATAGTATTGGACATAAATGGTATCTGATTCCTTGACTGTCGTAGAGCGAGGCATGTTTTTCGGCGAATCGTTTCAACCTTTTTATGAAAGTATAACTAATCGGCATAGTTCACTTCTGAGACGGGAAATAAAAAAAAAGTTTAAAATTATAGTCATTTCACTGCTTTTGTGTTACTTTTCTATAGAATGTGTACAATGTGTTAGATATACTTTCTAAACTTCGAAATGTAGGCTATGAGAACGAGTCCAAAGAAAAGGAGCGAAGAGTTAACGTGGCGCTTGGCGCGAAATTATGAAAAGTGGCCCGTCTTTTATAATTCTTAGACAGGTGTACTGAAGCAGAAGTATACACAAGTACATTTAGAGCAGTACTACCAATAGCGTAATGGTTAGCGCGTTGGGGATAAAAGTGGATTGGATTTTCACGCTGGCGTCCTGGATTCATTCCTCCTTGTGACCAAATTTTATAATCACTTCCCAGCTCGAAATTACGATTTTATTTCCAGAATCGGACGGAAGACCCCTCGTTGCTCGCAACGAGATCGTTTCTAGTTATTATTATTTTTTTTGGATTCATTAAATTTAGTTTGAATTGATCCTTAAAAGTAATGCATCTACTGAATAAAAAATAACAATTTAAGTGAGATCACTAATCATGCTAATGTCCAATACCTATCTTTCTTGTATATTTTGTAGTGAAATACATAATATATATGCACAATACTGACATATACATTCCTTTAAAAAAGATGAACCTCTATTCAAAGGTCACCTCTCTATAAAGGTCACTTTTCATGGATCCCGTAGGTGACTGCTTAATACAGGTTTGACTGTATATGTGTTTTTAAATTCTTGTAGTGTCTTCAAATTTGTACACACCGTTGAAAAGTCGTATAAACCAATCTAAAATCAATACACTAAATATATTTCAATAATTTTGAGTTGTTTTAACAAATATTTTGTCTCTTACGTTGCTTCAACCGTATAAAAACTAGTTTTTTGATCGGAGGCTGCCCCTCGCGGACGGCTGACGTCGATTTTTTTGTCGAGTTTTGACACACATTTGTTGGGGTTTTTGTTTAGTATTTGTACTGTCTATATAGAAAGCGATACTTAAGATATCATAAAATAGTTATAGCCTCTTTATTTGTGTTACATAATTTTTTTATTAATTTTTGACTTGTCTTATTTAGAAAATAATCATTTTAATCAGTGCACTTTATATCAGAGTTTGTGTCATTTTAACCTTGGTCCGTGCGCACTATCCGCGACCTATAAAGACACCGATTTTTACAAAAATAATAATACATCAATCAAAATAAAATTTTTTTGATTTGTTTTATCATAACAAATATTTTGATATAAAAAATATTTATATAGAACCACTTATTTTCACAAAAACGTCATTGTCCACGGACTTTTTGGACAACCCTCGTATATTGTACTGTGATAAGTGATAAGTGTGCGGTCATCCCTGCTTATTACTTGACAGAGTGTGTGGTCATCCCTGCTCTGTAATTGGCATCTCTTAGCAGCAAGTGTGTGGACATCCCTGCTTGTTGCTGCGCAAGATCAGGTGTGTGGACATCCCTGCCTGCATCTTGTGGTAGAGCATTGGTGTGCGGACATCCCTGCCAGTGTCTCTAGGCTAGAACCGTATTAGTGTCAAGTGTGTGGTCATCCCTGCTTGTCACTGCGCAAGGGCAAGTGTGCGGTCATCCCTGCTTGTCTCTTGTGGAAGTGCGCTGGTGTGTGGACTTCCCTGCCAGTGTCACTTGTTTGCTACCAGTAAAGACCTTATATAACGCAGTACCAAGTGATTAAGACTGCGCATTGTACATATTTGCAGCATCACAAGGCTATCCGTTTTTATCACGGTTACGAGCCTGCGGGGGTTCACAGGCAGTGACCTCCCTTGCACGTTACATAAGCATAGGACCCGGGAGGGGCGGGGGAGGGGATAGCCCCTCTTATTTGCAAAGTAAGATATACAATGTAATATAGATATTGAAAATTGAAACTTTTTGTTGGTGTAGCTCCCCCCCCCCCCCAAAAAAAAGAAGTATAAGCCCCTCCCCGACACGCTTTCAATTTGCTTCTGAAAACTATTTCATTGTTAATTGTTAACATGTTTTTTTTTAAACAGAAAAACAACTTATTCACCTTCAACATAAGGCATGTGGACTTTCTCCCATTTTAAAAGACTTTGCTTGGACAGAACTTTCCTTTCCATTGGCTGCTTCCTTCTCATTTTGACCACTGCTCATGCGCAAACTGGATCCGAATTGCCTGGGATAGGCGCTCTGGGAGTCGTGGGAATTTCCAGTAAATATCCTAAATACAGTTGAACTTCGGTATCTCGAACACTGATTTGTTGAATACCATGGATATATCGAAATGATCTGGGGGGGGTCCCAATCGCTTTTTAGCTCACCTGAGACGAAGGCTCAAGTGAGCTTTTCTGATCACATTTTGTCCGTCGTCCGTCCGTCTGTCCGTCCGTCCGTTCGTCTGTAAACTTTTCACATTTTCGTCTTCTTCTCAAGAACCAATGGGCCAATTTTAACCAAACTTGGTACAAAGCATCCTTGGGAGAAGGGAAGTTTAAATTGTTGAAATGAAGGACCAAGTCCCCTTACAAGGGGAGATAATAAAGAAAAGACAAAAACAGGGTGGGGTCACTAAAAAATCTTCTTCTCAAGAACCAATGGGCCAGGAAAGCTGAAACTTATGTTGAAGCATCCTTGGGTAGTGTAAATATTAAATTGTAAAATTCATGACCCCCGGGGGTAGGGCCTGGCCACAATATGGGAATCCAAGTTTAACATAGAAATATATAGAACAAATCTTTCAAAATCTTCTTCTCAAGAACCACTGGGCCAGGAAAGCTGAAACTTATGTGGAAGCATCCTTGGGTAGTGTAAATATTAAATTGTTGAAATCTTGACCCCCCAGGGTAGGGCGGGGCCACAATAGGGAATCCAAGTTTTACATAGAAATATATAGAACAAATCTTTCAAAATCTTCTTCTCAAGAACCACTGAGCCAGGAAAGCTGAAACTTATGTGGAAGCATCCTTGGGTAGTGTAAATATTAAATTGTTGAAATCTTGACCCCCCAGGGTAGGGCGGGGCCACAATAGGGAATCCAAGTTTTACATAGAAATATATAGAACAAATCTTTCAAAATCTTCTTCTCAAGAACCACTGGGCCAGGAAAGCTGAAACTTATGTGGAAGCATCCTTGGGTTGTGTAGATATTTAATTGTTAAATTCATGACCCTCAGGGTTTGGACAGGGCCACAATAGGGAATCCAAGTTTTACATAGAAATATATAGAACAAATCTTTCAAAATCTTCTTCTCAGGAACCACTGGGCCAGGAAAGCTAAAACGTATGTGGAAGCATCCTTGGGTAGTGTAGATATTAAATTGTTAAAATCATGACCCCCGGGGGTAGGGTAGGGCAGGGCCACAATAGGGAATCCAAGTTTTACATAGAAATATATAGAACCTATCTTTCAAAATCTTCTTCTCAAGAACCACTGGATCAGGAAAGCTGAAACTTATGTGGAAGCATCCTTGGGTATTGCAGATATTAAATTGTAAAAATCATGACCCCCCGGGGGTAGGGCGGGACCACAATAGGGAATCCAAGTTTTACATAGAAATATATAGAACAAATCTTTCAAAATCTTCTTCTCAAGAACCACTGGGCCAGGAAAGCTGAAGCTTATGTGGAAGCATCCTTTGGTAGTGTAGATATTAAATTGTTAAAATCATGTCCCGGGGGTAGGGCCTGGCCACAATAGGGAATCCAAGTTTTACATAGAAATATATAGAACAAATCTTTCAAAATCTTCTTCTCAAGAACCACTGGGCCAGGAAAGCTGAAACTTATGTTGAAGCATCCTTGGGTAGTGTAGATTCTAAAGTTTTAAAATAAAAAAGGGAAGGGGGTTGTTGGGCATGATAGGTATAGCAAGAGGGGGTAAAGATCTGCATCACCCAAGTTACTCAGGTGAGCGATGTGGCCCATGGTCCTCTTGTTTCTTTTAAGTATTTTACCTTGAATATTTCGAATTCTTGGATATCTCGAAGTTTTTTTTTCACAGACCCATTGGGTTTGAGATAACGAGGATTGACTGTAATTACGTTTTAATATGCATGCTACTTTAAGATTGACTTAACGGCCAGGGCTTTCTTTCCTGAATAATATTATTCATCTAACGACAAATGATACAAACAAAAAATGGATGCCTGGATTGGTTTATATTTTTTGACCTAATATCATTGCAAATGCTAGAAATAAATTTATAGAATATTAGGAAATTGTAAATCCTCTGTGACGTTCAAAGTTCTACCCTTTCTGAAACCATTTTTATTATTCTATATAAATATTTTTTACTTCAAATTCCATTTTTGTGCAGCTTTGAATAAAAAATAATTTTAAAAAAATACGCAGTGAAACGTAATTATTATATTCATTAAAACACGACCCAAGTTGTTATTTTGAAAAAAAGATTGACAAAAGTTTGTTTGTATCAGCTGTCCTTAAACTAAAGTTTCTGTTATATGATTGTATTTTAAATTAATCTGCTTTTATCTTAATATATACATAAATAGCTGACGATGAGCTTACCATTTACGTTTTGAATCACTTTCTATTTTGTATTTACTTTTAAAAAATCGTAACTGAACAAAAATGAAATTCGACGTTTAAGCTAAAGACCTATAACTCTTACTATATTTACTTAAAATATGTTTGCGTATAATACATTTTAGTTATATAAAAAAAGATGAAATATCAACACACAGTCCAAAATGCATGCATTTTAAAAATTCAAAATAAAGTAGTTAAAAAAATAAATAAAAAGAAAATAGAAAAAATAACGAAAGAAAAATCAACAACAACCAAAAACTGCTTTGTATCATCTAGATCTATTTCTCTTAGTCAAAAAGGCGAAAATTCCTGAAACTCTAATAAGGAAACCCTTCAGTGACACTTAATTGTACGATTTTTAGCTCACCTGAGACGAAGGCTCAAGTGAGCTTCTCTGATCACATTTTGTCCGTCGTCCGTCCGTCTGTCCGTCTGTAAACTTTTCACATTTTCGACTTCTTCTCAAGAACCAATGGGCCAATTTTAACCAAACTTGGTACAAAGCATCCTTGGGTGAAGGGGAGTTTAAATTGTTAAAATGGAGGGCCAAGTTCCCTTACAAGGGGAGATAATCAAGAAAAGACAAAAATAGGGTGGGGTCATTAAAAAATCTTCTTCTCAAGAACCACTGGGCCAGGAAAGCTGAAACTTATGTTGAAGCATCCTTGGGTAGTGTAGATATTAAATTGTTAAATTCATGACCCCTGGGGGTAGGGCGGGGCCACAATAGGGAATCCAAGTTTTACATAGAAATTTATATAAGGAAAAAATCTTTAAAAATCTTCTTCTCAGGAACCACTGGGCCAGGAAAGCTGAAACTTATGTGGAAGCATCCTTGGGTAGTGTAGATATTAAATTATTAAATTCATGACCCCCGGGGGTAGGGCGGGGCCACAAAAAGGAATCCAAGTTTTACATAGAAATATATAGAACAAATCTTTCAAAATCTTCTTCTCAGGAACCACTGGGCCAGGAAAGCTGAAACTTATGTGGAAGCATCCTTGGGTAGTGTAGATATTAAATTGTTAAATTCATGACCCCCGGCAGTAGGGCGGATCCACAATAGGGAATCCAAGTTTTACATAGAAATATATAGAACAAATCTTTTTAGAATCTTCTTCTCAAGAACCACTGGGCCAGGAAAGCTGAAACTTGTATCGAAGCATCCTTGGGTAGTGCAGATTCTGAAGTATTAAAATCATAAAAAGGAAGAGGGTAGTGGGGTACGATAGGTATAGCAAGAGGGGAAATCTGGTAAAGAACTGCATCACCCAAGTTACTCAGGTGAGCGATGTGGCCCATGGGCCTCTTGTTTTTGTTGTGACTAGTTTGTCCCTTCAGGACTTCCTTACTATTTAGTTTTGAATTGTTTACATGTAAATTTTTTCGCATTTACATTAGTTTACATGCATTTTGAAAACAATTGTTTTACAGTGCTTTAAAACATGAAAAAAGACAATCACGTGGCTTTTTCATAGTTAATTTTAGCACTTTTTATGGGATATATAGTAATAGATTTTAATGATTTTAAAAAATTCTAGAATAATATGTATCTGTCTTTTCAAAACAATTTATTAACTTGTTTGTGAACAAATCGTAATTAGGTTTTTCATTTAAATTTCTTTTCTCAGTGACTGCGTCGACTTCAATATTGTCTTCAGCAATTCGAGATCTGAGGGCGGATCTAGAGGCGTGTGAAGACAAACTTGAAGAATTAGAAGATTGCGCAACCAAGCTGCGAAAAGCAAGGGAAGAAGAAGAGGAATGTAGAAAGGGACAAAGTGAATGCGAGGAGGCGTATTCTAAGGCAAAGGACGATCTAAGTAAAGCAAAGGACGACCGCACGGGTTGTGATTCTGAGTTTGGTGGAAATTTTAAGGGTGAGATACATATATTGTTATAGGTTGAGATTCATACATATTAAGTTGAGATACATATATTTAAGGTCAAGATCTAGTAAATAGCATGAGACTAATTTTTGCTGCTAGATCCATTATGACGTCATAATCAATTTCAACTTTCTTTTTCCCGTACTTTTCGGCTATAGCAGAATTATGTAGAAAAAAGGGTAATTTCATGTCATTCAATTTGAAATCATATGAAAAGTAAACCGGATACCTATATTACATTTGATATTGATTCAAAGAAGAGGCTGTGAACATACTAATTACCATTTTCTGAGAGACTGTAGGCAATCTGGATACATTTCCTTGGCCGAATACGAAAAAAACTCCCATATTCATGACTGGTTTTCTTAATTTTTCATTGAAAATGACAATTTAAAATGCTGTTTTTCATCTTGTTTACCTACAAATTATGCCCCGAAACACCTTATTTGACCAAGTTAAAGTTGTAAAGCATCAATAAAGGAATGTATTTCTCAAGTTTGATAAATCTGTAGGCACCTTTCATTTACTAGATCTTGACCTTAATGTGAGATACATACATTTAAGGGTGAGCTATATACATTATAAGTAAAAGAAATTCATACATTGTCAGGGTGAGATACATTTTTCGGTTGAGATACATACTTTTTAGGGTGAGATATAATTATATAAATTTTTAGGGTGAGAAACATACATTTTAAGGGTGGGATACATATATTTTAAGTTTAGGGTAGGATATATACATTTACAATTTTAGGTAGACATAATTTTGGTGGGTTAAATATATACATTTTAAAGGTGAGATATATATACATTTCCAATTAATTTTTAGGGTGATATATAAACATTTTAAGGATAAGATACATACATTTTAGGGTGAGATACATACATTTTTGGGGTGAGATAAATGCGTTTTATGGGTGATATACATAAAACTTAGGGATGAGATGCATACTGTGTGATATCTTAAAGAATTTGAAAAACTTTTAAGGAAAAATATTATGGAAATGTAAATACGTATAAACACGTGTCAAAAGATAGTTAACAGCTTAAGATATATCCAAAAAATTAAGTTAAATCTGGTGGTCAATTTTGTTGACCCCCTAGCCTCCTTAAGGAGATTTGATCCTGAGCTTTAAAGCACATTTGTGACTAAAGTTCTACATCATATTTAAGTTCTTTTATTAAATTTTGATCTACAATGCATAATAAACTACATTCAATTAAAACCCTACGATGAATTCCATACAAAAAAAGATGAGAAACTATATTTTTCTTTTTGAAGATTTTTTTTTCTTTTCGAAGTATTAACAGTTCTGTTAAGTTTGGTTACCTATTTATCCATGCAGGCTATACAGAGATCTAAAATGTTTTATTTGACTTTTATAAATTCTGTCACAAAATTGTAACAAATACATCAAACATAAATAAAGTCCTTTTAGATATTTTGAGTTACCTCAAAAGTTCCCACTTTTAATTTTCTTTTCTGAATATATGATAACTTTGATCATATTGCAAAAAGTCAGCAAAAATGTAAGATTTTAAAATATATTTTTCTTGTTAAATTTTCAATGTCATAAAATATGTTTAAGTGCATAATGGTTAAATAATTGATATTTCGAAGTTATTTGAAAACTTTTATTTATCTCGATTTTAAAGATTAAAAGATTAAGAGTATATTTGATCCCATAATTTTTTGGATCAAAAAAATATTGAAGGAAAAACTACGGGGAAGTGATGTATGTTTTCGACACTAGTTCAGTGCAAAAAGGTCATACATAATCAACCATAGCGCTAGATGCATATGGGAAGCAAGTTGCGTCCCTTTATTAGCAGACTTTTTTGTATTCATATGAAGTAGAATTTGTCCAAAATCTGGAACGTGAAAAGAAAATAACACTTGCTGTGGCCTTCAGCTCGAAATTTGGATATATCGATGAAGTACGTATGGTCAATTTATTAAGGTCATATGACACGTTCCTCAAAAATATGTTTTGTATCTCTTGGTACTATATCAAAACTTATTCATATTTGTCATTCTCTTCTGATTTCTACATTGTTTTCAAAATGTTTTTAAATAAAAAGTACACCAAAAATTGTAATATAGGCAATTCAGAAGATTACCTATAAGGATTATATTAGAAATATGGCCCTAGGGTATCTTGTCCAAATTCCTGGTAAGGTACCCTAAGTTTTTGTGAGGAAACTTCTTCTAGTACCTAAACTTCAATGACAAATTCTTAGGAAAAATTATGTATTTTTGAGGAATGTGTCGTCTGACCTTAACAATGGTCTTTCCATTCTTATGTCGATACGATATATCCCGATGAGATGAGAAATACCACAGAGTCTGAGCTATCTGTTTCATATTTGGATATTTTACTTGAACAAGAAGCCCATGGGCCTTATAGGTCACCTGAGTATCATGTAACAACTTTCAAATAATTGAATTTGGTTCGTGTTTTAAACCAGACGCCAGGAAATTCACAATTTTGAAAGAGGCACCCTTGCTTACCATAATTATGCACTCAGCATGCTTATGCTTTGGTTACTTAATACCCAGAGGTAGATCAGAGTAACAAAGAGAAAATGCATTTCCACTTTATCAGTTTTGCAGATAAAATGAAAGAAAAAGTGAGCAAGCTCACATACCCCTCGCTCCCCCAAAACTCAAAGTGCTGAAAATCCCCCAAAAAAATAAAGAAATCGGATTTTCCCGGTAATATGCACATCTACACACTTTGTCCTAAATATCTGCAAAGTTTGATGAAATTCTGTGCAGTGGTTTATGGGGAGTTACGCTGACAGACTGTTCATCACTATATTCAAGATATTCTAAAAATCTAAGTTGAAAAGTGCCAAAATTCCCAGAAAAATAAAGAAATCGGAATTTCCTGGTAATATGTACATCTACACACTGTGTCCTAAATAACTGCAAAGTTTGACAAAATTCTGTGCAATGGTTCAAGAAGAGTTGTGCTGACAAACTGTTCATATATATATTCACGGTATGGCCAAAAATCTACGTTTCTAGTGCAGTGCGGAAATTCCCGGAAAAAATAAAGGAATCAGAATTTCCTGCGTATATGCGTATCTACACATTGTGTTCTTAATATCTGCGAAGTTTGACAAAATTCTTTGCAGCGGTTTATTAGGAGTTGCGCTGACAAACTGTTCATTTCTATATTCAAGGTATGGCCAAAAAATCTAAGTTGAAAAGTGTGGAAATTCCCGGAAAAAGTAAAGGAATTATATTCCTGGTAATATGCACATCTACACATTGTGTCCTAAATATGAGGAGTTGTGCTGACAAAAAAAAAACAGGACTGACGCACTGACTGTCTGACTGACTGACACTCTGACTGACTGACTGACGGACGGGTCAAAAACATTATACCTCATGCAACTTGTTGCGTGGGGTATAATGAATAAATTTAATTTTATCATGCTGATGATTAATACCAATGTGCAGGTTTCACAGCATTAGATAATTTACGGACTATGTATCCCATCCCCCGAGTACCTCTGTCCCAGGGGGGGGGGGGGGGGGGGCAGGAAATTAACCATTATTGAAAGAAGCAGCTTTCTTCGTCATAAATATAATTATACTAAGATTATTGGCATAATATCCAGGAACAAAGGAAAAGATTTTCAAAGAATTCATGCATTTTCACTTTATAAACATTAGAGCTCTGCCCTAACACAAGAAGCCCTGACCCAGGGGCCCTGAAATTCACAAATCTCAAAGAGGCATCTTTCCTCCTCGTAACTATTTACATAGTTCATAGGTTTAATACCCTGGTGAAGAAAAGAAGTTTTTTTAAAGAGTGTATGCATTTTAACTATATAATCAATAGAGCCCCACCCTAACACCAGAACCCCAAACCCAGGGGCCATGAAATTCACAATTTTGGAAGAGACAGCCTTATTCAACATAAATATGTACTTGGTTAGTTTATTTACAACTCAGGAGCAAAGTAGAAGATTTTCAAAGAAATAATGCATTTTCACTATGTAATCTATAAAGCCCCACCCTGCCACTAGAACCCCTGACTCTGGGGCCATGAAATTCACTATTTGAGAAGAGGCAGCCTTATTCAACATAGCTATACACTTGGTTAGTTTATTTGGTGCCCAGGAGCAGAAAAGAAGAATTTCAAAGAAATAATGCATTTTCACTATATAATCTATATAACCCCGCCCTGCCACTAGAACCCCTGACCCTGGGGCCATTAGATTCACAATTTTAGAAGAGGCAGCCTTATTCAACATTATTAAGCACTTTGTTAGTTTATTTAATGCCCACAAACAGAAAAGAAGAATTTCAAAGAGATAATACATTTTCACTAATATATAATCTATATAGCCCCGCCCAAGCGCTAGAACTCCTGACCCTGGGTGAAATTCACAATTTTGGAAGAGGCAGTCATTTTCAACTCAACTTGGCATTTGGTTAGTTTATTTAATGCCCAGGAGCAGAAAAGAAGAATTTCAAAGAAATAATGCATTTTCATTATATAACCTATTTAGCACCGCCCTAGCACCAGAACCCCTGACCCTGGGGCCATGAATTTCACAATTTTTGTAGAGGACTCAGTGCTGATTACAATCATACCAACAGTTTGACTGCTTGATGTCCAGTAGTGAAGAAGAAGATTTTTAAAGATTGCACTAATTTTAGAGGTTTTTGCCCCACCCCCAGGCTCCATGGGGTGCAGGGACCATGAAATTCACAATTTTTGTTCCCTTTTATCTATTAATGTTATATGCCAAATTTGGTTGAAATTGGTTTAATGGTTTCAGAGAAGAAGCTGAAAATGTTCAAATGTTAACGCACGACGGACGACGATGGACGAAAACGGATAGCAATAGGTCACCTGAGTGTACCAGGTGACCTAAAAAGATGTTTATGGTAATCTAACAACCAAGCTCTATGATAACGTGATGACTATAACTTTTCTCTCGTCAGCTTCTCTTATGCAGCAATATACCTTCATCACCTGCATATGGAGTTTATATATCTCAGTTGATTCGATACGCAAGAGCATGCTCCACGTATCAACAATTTTTAAAACGAGATAAATGATTGAAAAACAAGATGATAAAACAAGAATATCAGTAGTCTCGTTTACAGTCATCATTTTGTAAGTTCTGTGGTCGATACAATGACCTTTTCAGCAAATATAAATTATCATTGAGCCAAATGCTGACTGACGTTTTAATACTAATTGTTAGTATAAACACTTAACTGACGACGGAATTTTCCGTTATTTCCCGATCATGACAAGGAGCAAGGGAGTTACCGGTCGGCAGGGGACATTCACTCCTCCATGGCACCTGATCCCATCTCTAATGTTTTGGAGGTCTCTTTGCTCTGCTCCTATTTTGTATTGTTTTATGGATTTTTGACCTATAACACTGTTTGTTATAATTATCTCCATATGTTTCATGAACCTCTAGATTTCATTAATATAAGAAGATACTAAAATAGAGAATTTTTTATATAAGGATCCAATCTCTTTTGGGAGTTGAAGTTTTTCGAAATTAATAATTTTTTTGAATTTGTAATTTCGATTTCAATATTTCATAGTGTCAATAAAGAACAGTGACCATTCAGTTTCTATTAACACAATCATTTCATTTAAATTCATATAGATAAAATTTCTATTTTTTTTTTTTTTTTGCTTTTTAGAGTTTCTTAACAAGTTTTGTGATGCGTATGTGAATGAGTGTGCCTGTGCTGTAAATACTACTCCAGAGGAATGTGCTGCGGAAACCGGAACTACATGTGTGTATGATGCCGGTCAAGGATTTTGTAGATATAATCCATAGAAGCCACTGGACAGTAAATCTTGCAGCAAGCTACACCTTTTAATGCTATTGAACTCATTGTTGATACCGGTTATCTAGATGCGTTGGAAAGCAGATCTTGTTGCAACACTTTTTTAATGCTTATCAATTTATTGTTGAGGCTGGTTGTCTTAAAGAATTTGAAAGCAAATTTTTTTGCAAAAAGTTACACCTTTTTAATGCTAATAAACTCATAGATGCATTGAATTGATTGATTGATTGTATATTGTTTAACGTCCCTCTCGAGAATTTTTCAATCATATGGAGACGCCACCACTTGTCGATGGAGAGCTGCAAATTTTGTCCTACACTCGGCACTTAGAGTCATTAAGCAGGGAGGGATCTTTTTCGTGCCAGCACCTACTGCGACACGGGACCTCTGTTAATACGGTCTCATCCGAAGGACCGCACTCCACGTTCCACAGTGGGATTCGAACCCGCAACGTAAGGATTGACTCCTTACCTCGCGACTCTAGAGCAGACACTCTAACCACTGCGCCACGCGGGCGACTAGATGCATTAGAAAGGAAATCTTGTTGCAACAAGTTTCACCTTTTTAATGCTAATGAACACATTGTTGATGCTGGTTATCTAAAAGCATTGGAAAGCAAATTTTGTTGCAACAAGTTGCACCTTTTAATGATAATAAACTCATAGATGCATTGAAAAGCAAATTGTTGTTTCAAGCTGTACGCTTTTAATTCTAATGAACATATTGTTGATACCGGTTATCTCGAAGCATTGGAAAGCAAATCTTGTTACAAAAAGTTACACATTTTTAATGCTAATATAATATGAACCCCTTTTTTAAAGTCAAAGTGTCCCAAGAACAACTGAATAGAATAAACCTAAAAGATTGGTTTTTCTTTCTGTTCTTCCTTTTTTCAGTATCCTTTATTTTTAGGAAGAATTGAATTTTGCAAATAAGCTGCATCTGGGATGGATCCATTTTAAGTTGCACATATTTAAAAAAAAAAGTATACTACCACACAAGAAAAAGAGAGTTATAAAAGGTGAGAGTAAGGGATAGCCGGTAAAGAATACGGACCGTGAAGAGAACAAACCAAGGATCCGGAAACAGAAGAGGTGGGATCAGGTGCCTTGGAGGAGTAAATATCTGTTGTCGACCGATCACATCAGCTCATAAACCATATTGATCGGTCAATTTTTGTAAAAACGATGACCTAACATAAAACAAACAAGAAAAGGTCCGACTTAAAACAGGTGTAGTTTCATATTTTTGATCTTTGATGTCTCCATATAACCTTTACTGTAAAAAAAGAATGAATACTCCCCATACATTTGTCCAAATATCATATCCCTCCTCGGAGCGGATTAAACCAAACACACTGACAAACACATGTAGTAGACATAAATATATTCTAAATGTAGTCTTCCCTATGACAAATATAAAGCCTCACCCACCCACAAAATATAGCGAAAACATAATAGCCTTTCATTTTTCTTACAAATTTTATACATTTATTGCTGGTTTTTTCGGTGAATCGATGATTTGGCCATCTGAGGAGTGCAATATTGTACTTCGAAGATGGCTAAATCATTGTATTCACCGAAAAAAAGCAATAATTGTTTTATTATATGATTCACTGATAAAATGATACAGCTTATTTTGTTAAGTCCTAGCCAAATACAAGAGAGATGCCGAATTAAAATGTGAATAAACCGTACCAGTTGTATCAATTTGAAATTTTTTTTTAATCAATTTAATTTTACATGAAAAAATATATAATGTCAATCTTTTTATAGGATAGATTTGAAAGGAAAGAGTATTTTCAGGGAAAACTGACTGTCAAAAAGTAAAAAATTAAAAAATAAATTGTTGTTCAGAAAAAATGTTGACGGGGGTCCCTGCATCCCTTCTTACCACTCTCACCTAAAATATATATTCTCTTATGTTTTGTTCACATGAAAACAAAAATCATAGTCCTTTAAGTAGCTTTCTAAAACAATTTGTATCAATTTGGAATTTCCCAATCTATTTTTAGATCAATGTAGAGGAAATAAATCCTTGTATAGACCTAGAACGTCACGTGCAGGTGAATACAACGTAATATTTTTCTAACATAGTTGGATCTCAGCCAATCAGAGAGATGGAAATTATTCAATCATATAATAATATACAATCGTAACTTTATTGTTCCAACTATCTGATTGGCTCAAACTGGATCACATGATCAAGTATAAAAAGTGTTACGGACTGGAACTGGAACAATAAAGAAAAATAATAATTAATGTTATTATTTTTTTTCATTGTTCAAACTATCTGATTGGCTCAAACTGGATCACATGATCAAGTATAAAAAGTGTTACGGACTGGATGTTTCTATTTAAAAAATTTATAAACCTGCTGTTTCTAAAATTGGAACGTTCTTCTGTGAAGCAACAATAGTGCTGACGTCACAATAGTCTTTATAGACTGGATGTTTCTAAAAACAGATACTGCAGCTGGTTTTCATTACTGTGACGTCATAATGCCATAACAATGCCTTGTATGAGAAGGTACTGCGTATTATAAAGAAGGATTTTAAAACATTTCTTATTAACTAATAAAAAATAATAAAACAATTATAGCCTTTTGATTCGGTACAATCCCTCGATATATAGACCTTAGAGAAAGGATATCGACCTCGCACTTCGTGCTCGGTCGATATGCTTTCTCTAAGGTCTATATATTGAGGGATTGACCTCATCAAAAGGCTATAATTGTATATTATTATTTTTCTTTATTGTTCCAGCTATCTGATTGGCTCAAACTGGATCACATGATCAAGTGTAAAAAGTGTTACGGACTGGATGTTTCTATTTTTAAAATTTATAAACCTGCTGTTTCTAAAATATGAAACGTTCTTCTGTGAAGCAAAAATAGTGCTGACGTCACAATAGGCTTTATAGACTGGATGTTTCTAAAAACAGATACTGCAGTTGGTTTTCATTACTGTGACGTCATAATGCAATGACATAACAATGCCTTGTATGAGAAGGTGCTGAGTATTATAAAGAAGGATTGTAAGACATTTCTTATTAACTAATAAAAAATAATAAAACAATTATAGCCTTTTGATTCGGTACAATCCCTCGATATATAGACCTTAGAGAAAGCATATCGACCGAGCACAAAGTGCGAGGTCGATATGCTTTCTCTAAGGTCTATATATCGAGGGATTGACCTCATCAAAAGGCTATAAGTGTATTAATATTGATATAATAGTGATTTTATTCCTTTTAAGATTAAATATATAAAAGCTGCTAATAACACAATCTCTCCTTCTTTATTTGTCATTGTATTCGATAAATTTTAATTTGTTTACGGTACCTTTCTTTTTAAAAAAATCAAAAGTATTTTAAATACGTAAAAGCAGAATTTTAGCGAGGATTCAATTTTGGCTTTCTTAGCGAGGATGCTGACGTCGCTAATATTTGATATCGCTAAAAATTAATTGCGTTTTATTTATAATAGCTTTTAAAGTGAGCATTTTAAAATCGCTAAAATATTACATGTCGCTAAAAATAAAATGTTCATGATAGCAACAAAAATATAAGAAAGACATGCACTTGTACAGTTTTCTGCTTTCATCATGGAATAAACTTTTATATCCATATATTCCAATGGTTCCAATGAGGTACTTAGTTTTTGCATTTCAAGCAATTATTTTCATGCTTTTTAAAACAAAAAATTTTATCGAAGAATATACATTAATAACTTCCGATGTATATACCTCCAAAAGTTATATTCAAATTTTATAACATGACAGGTACATCATCTTGTGGGATTTTTGTAATTCTTAAAATTGAAAAAAGTAAATTATCATTCAAAGTATGGGAAGATAAATTCAAAGTACAACTACCTGTATATACTTTTTTTCTTTCCAAATGATCTCGACACTGCAATATTCTCTCTCATCTGAAACCTTGAAATAAATGATCATTTAACATATGCAAAAACGTATGATGATTGCGTTTTGACACTTTTAATTAGATAAAGGGGATGCTCATTCCTCCAGGGCATCTTATTCCATCTTATTGTTTGCTCTGTTCACAGTTTGAATTGTTTTAATGGTCTTTTGAGATTGAGTACTGTTCGTTTTCTCCATATATTTCATAAAGTCCATATGTATTATTATAAAACATTGAAAATTCTAAAGTGCGTAGATTCAGACACTCAAGCTGTGCAGAGTTCACTAATTGTCATTAAATTATAAAAGATAATCAATTATCTCTCATATCTGTTATGAAAGTGTATGATTTTGAAGACCTTATTTCGCTGCCTAGGGGTGAAATAAAAAAAATACTTTATCTCTGAAGTTTAAAATTGTTTGCTATTTTATCCAAAATATTTCAAATCAAACCTTAAGTGTTTTTCTCAAAATTTGACTGCTTCCTTTACCCATAATTTTCACCGATAAAAATACAACTGCTGCTTTGAGTAAAATTTAAAACATTAAATTTTAAAACTATGATTAAAAATTTAGCTGAAATTCATTATAAAGAATGAGCATTTCTAGAAATAAGCTGTTACTAAAAATAGCCACCAGAAAATCCTTAGTCGCAACCTTCCCTTTCGACGATTTTTGTTTGGTTGATTTTGTTTGTTTTTTTCGGTTGAGGACTGGCTCTTAGCCTTATACTGAAATGCCCTGATATGTAATTTTACCACGCACATGACGCAGTGCATTTAAATTTCATTTCGGAGGGGGGGGGGGAGGTGGTCAAGGATGAGGATGGGGAGTAAAGACCCCCTCATTTCCCATTAAAAGTAGTCTTTATAAATTATATACCGATTTTCTACATCATTTTTTGATAATAAAAAGTTATTTAAACATTTCAGCATTAAAATAAATACATAAATACAAAAACAAAGCAACATATGAAAAAAGAACGCACACAACAATTTTAACAGCCCAAGTCCATTTTTTCCATAAGTCGTAGTTTTGTTTTTTACGAAATCGTGCAAGCTGTGTCTTGTTCATATTTACCAGTACCCAGTATGTAATGGATGATTATTAGTTTTACTGTTTTAT